AAAATTTCACCACCAACAGTCTCTTACACTCTAACTCGGTTACCAGTTACCGCCCAAGTACACTTTTAGAAAAATATTTAACCCAGTGTACGGCAATTGGGTGAAAACTCTGCACTTCTACAAACAAATAATTATAACTTTCAAAACACAGCAACAAATTTTGAATAATCTTAGAATCACAATAATTGTGCATTTTTTTTTTTTTGCTTATAGGGAGGTCTCAACAGGCTTGTTGGACAGCAGTCTGGTTACATACAGAAGTAAGGCAACTGTCTAGTATAGTATAGGCTTGATTTCTCTCGTGTCCAGTCACTGAACAGTAGCTGGTGATCATACCAAAGTGTAATACGGTAGAACTTCCTCTAAGTGTCCAACCTTGGAACCAGAAAGCCCTTTTCTATTTAGGAGAGGTGTCCGTTTATGGGAAGTTCAAAATAAATTGTTGACAAGTATGTTGCTGGAAACACGAGCAAAGGCTGTTTACAAGAGATGTCTGCCTGCAGATGTGTCCATTACCCGAGGTTCAGCTGTTCAAAAATTTATTTTTATGTGATTTGAAGGTGGAATTAAGAACTGGGTCTGTGTATAGTAGGTGTCTATCTAGTTATGGATGCATGCAAAAATTTGGAGAGCATGATAGACGTCAATGCATAGCTGAGAGCAACTCTAACTTTCTAGGCTTCATTTGTATTTCTAGAGTATTTTCAGGCCAAATTTTCGTTATTAATTTTCTTGTGTAGTCAGTTCATTTACTACATCTTCCTTTGTGATTAATTGCCCAGCATTCAAACTTATATTCTCATTTTTAGTGAAAAATCGTGGTAGATTGTTTCTGTGCCTTATAAATATTTGATTTAATTTTTCTGAGTATTTAAAATCCAGACCTCTTGTTTAAAAGTCTTGAGACATATGGAAAGAGATAAGAAAAAATAAATAAACATAGCAGTAATAATATTATTACTGCCATGTTTATTTATTTTTTCTTTGTAAAAAAGTAACGTGTACCTTATGCTTTTTCATTGATCTTAAGTTTACCAAAGCCAGTGAAAAGAAGGATAAAGGCATTAAAAAATATACAGGTTGGTTTCTTGATATACATGTTTCTGAAGTTTTCCTGAATTATTTCTTTATTTATTTATTTGGACATCTATTTGTTAGTCCAACATCTGTGCACTTAGCTGCAGAGATCTAAGATTTCAGCCTGGCTCATGACCATAGTGTATGGTGTGTTTTTGACCAAGACTCTTTCACAGTCCCTCTCATCACCCATGTAAGGAGTCTATGAAATAAGTGACACAGTGAATTGCTGGTAAAATGTGATAATGCTGGGGCATAACCTTTAACAAGGAGTCCTAAAAGCAGATATTATTACCTCAAAAAAGGGCAAAAATGTCAGGAGAGTCAATAAGTGGATGCCACATTGCTGACAAACAGCGGCAACTAGCTCAGTCTGCAGTGCATGTCAGTGAAATCCCCTCTTTCGGTGGACTATGTGAAGTGTATCCCATGTCATGATAGGAACAGTGTTCTTAGACTTTCATCCTTTCAATACTGTTTTGTTTTAGTTATTTGTATGCTTCATACTTGTGTTATAGCCCCACATGCTATCTGCAGACTTGCATCCCTTGTGACAATTTTACAGTAAAATCAATTTTCTTTTATTTGATACATGCAGGTTGAATGCTGTAAAGTGGAGGGCTTGTTCTATGAGCGAGTACATGCTCTTGAGTGTGAATTTGCTGAAAAGTTCAAGCCATTATTTGAAAAGGTAACTTATAAAATTTTCTAGTCTCAGTGTAATGTTATGATATAACAGGGTAGGACATTTAACTTTTGAATCACTTAGAGAAGTGGGGCATCGTGAAATAAAAGAAAACTTTTGAGTTGATCTCTCAATTTCGTAACTGGTTTCCTTGTAGCGTCGAAACATTATAAATGGACAAGTTGAACCTACTGACGAGGAATGTCAGTGGCAAAGTGATGAAGAAGATGACAACAATGAAGACAAAGAGGAAAAAGGAGAGGAGGACGTGACACAACTGTCTGTAAGTTTACTGATTTGCTGGTTATTAACTGTAATTTAGAAAACTTTCCTATTTGGATTGAAGTTTGCTCTCACTAGTTTGATGAAATATGTAATAATAATAATAATAATTAATATCACTGTCCATTATATGGAGAGGTGCTCAAAAAGAACCCACTGTGTTTCTCTGTCTGTCAGTGTATCGATCTATCAATCTGTCTTTCTGTGTCTGTCTGTCTGGATTGATGTGTAGATTGCTGTGTGGCTTACTGGCTGGATTGCTGTCTGGCTGGCTGGCTGACGGGCTGACTGGCTGTCTGGCTGGCTTGCTATCTGTCTGTCTATCTGTCTGACTGGCTGTCTGTCTGTCTACCCGTCTTTGTCTGCTTGTTTGTCTGACTGGCTGTCTGACAGGCTGGTTGTTTGTTTATATGAGAATTGTATTCCTTGTTACATTACCCCTGGTTCACTTATTGATTGACACATAACAAGATTCTCAAAATTGTTCTCACAATGCACTGCAGACTTATTTGCATGACTCCTCTAAAAAGTCATCCAAAAATCATCAAAACAGTGTCATGCACATTCTCTCATGATGGATACACTCTAGAACTTTACATCGAGGTTTGTAAATATTTCAGCTGGACAAAAATCTCTCTCCCCGGCAGGATGAAGTGAAAGAAAAAGCTACAATAGATGACGAAGAGAAGCTTGAAACATCAGAACTCACAGGTGCAGATTAGTTGAAACGTTTAACATCCTGGCCATAAAGGAGTTTAATTAGCATAGTGTTCTGATCAATTAGATTTTGCTTGACTTGCACTTTTAACTTTTGTTTGCCAACCCTTGCCAGGTTTCAAGCAATTTGGATATCATAAATTCAGTTGATTGCAGAGGTTTTGCACCTAAATCCAGGTTTAGGCTAGATAGTTGCTTACTTGTAATGATGTTTGATCAAATGCTCAAGAATCAAACACCCACCTACTGAGAACTTAACATGCTTTGAAAGCTCAGTCTTGACTGAAATTGTTTACAGTGGGTATACTAGTTGTGAGAAACTGTAAGGAACACAAAGGAATGTGATCTGAAGAAGACCTATTTCAAAATAAGTTTTATTATTAGTGAAAATGTACCATTTATTTTTGTTATTGTTGTTGTTGTTTCTATATAAATCAGATGATGCTAAAGGCATTCCAGAGTTTTGGTTGACAGCTATGAAGAATGTTGACATGTTAGCAGACATGATCCAGGTCTGTGTTGTTTTAGTTGTTCAGCCCTTTTATTCCCAAGTGTGATCAGCATCTTATTTCCTCCTTTCAGTATCATTACATTGGCAAGCAGATGGTTGATAAGAATATCAAAATTAATCAACTGGGGAATGTTGTCTTTCACTAAATTCTCAGACTCAGACGAGTACTATTAAAAGTATACATAGCTCATTTAATTCCACCTTTAAGCCAAGCTCCAGGCCACCAAGCGAAACACCATAACTATAGGAACAGAACCACATGCATGCATAAAAATAGAAAACCATGCAACTCTTTTTTCATGGTTAACATGGCTAGCGACGTGGATCACAGGCTTGTGCGCACTCCAATGATGAAAAATGATGAGGACATCGCACAACATGGCTATGATACTCCAGCTAATAGGTCAACCGAGACATGCAGCCAAGGTTTGCAGTGTGCATATTTGATATGAGCATCACTTGACCATATTATGGGCTCAGTTTTAGAGCTCATCGAAACCGCATTTTTTTTTAAGTTGACCACTGATCTGGAACTGGTTATTGATTAGATTGCAGGCTCAAGCCAGGTTAATTTATTGTATAGTAGCTCTGCTTTCAGGCTTGGCTTAATCTATACATTAAAAGGTGATTCGTATTTCATATGTAAGGTAATCATGTTTACGTAATTATCTGTCCTTGTTCAGGAACACGATGAACCAATTTTAAAGCATCTTCTTGATATCAGAGTAATCTTCACTGGGCCGGACAGTAATGTGGACACAACACAGTACCCTCAACCTACCCCAATGGTTTGTAGTACTGTTACAAGTTTTAAATTCAATTAATGTAATTACCATTTTATAATTTATGAACAACTTTAGACAGCCTTTTTTTGTCAAAGGCATGTAATTGTAGTTGTGAAGGAAGGCTACCCTTGTAACCAGTGAAAATTCTTGATGAAAATTTAGACAATCTGACAGAGATGTGCTTTTGTTCTGTAATCACAAGGCAAGACATAATTGACTTTCCCTGAAGTTTATGTTGAATATGTTTTTTGGTATTGCACCATGGATCCCTCTCATGGTAGAATGGTCAAAGAAGTTGTAAAAAATATATGTGTGAATGATTTGTTTCTATTTTTCAGGGTTTTGTGCTGGAATTCCATTTTTCACCAAATCCCTACTTTACAAACAGTGTAAGTAAGACTACCCTTCTTTGGAGTATTTTGTTACTTTATTATTTTGTTACTTGTTGAAAAACACTGAGTATTAGATTAGGTCTGAAGATTAATATCTTGTCTGTGGGCAAACATTTGTGTTTTGTGGTGAAAATATTTTGCACTTGACACTGGCATTTCTTTGTTTTAGGTTTTGACCAAGAGTTATAAAATGAAATGTGAACCAGATGAAGATGATCCATTTTCATTTGAGGGGCCAGAGATAATCAGCACCTCAGGGTATTTATTTAATGTATTATCATATTTTTGGAGGTTCATTGTATTTTTGCTGCATTTGAAAGTGAAACCCTATCCAGCGCAGCTGGCTTTTAAGGGTGACCTAATCAATATTCTGAATTGAGAGTTTTCATTTTAAATCCTGTCTGGGTTTGTGTTGTGGTTGTGGCCAAGACAATCGGCCATTTCCAACTTACCTTGTGCCTCTGAATCAAGACAACTCCTTGTGCAAAACCTTTTGTATCAAGTCACTTTGATTCACGTGAAAGGGAACCGGTAGGCAGAACACATTTTCTTATGAACTGCTTTGCACAAACACTCCTTCAGACACAGAGGCAAAATGCAACTCAGAAATGACCTGTTAACTCTCACAGAACCTTTATCCTCTAGCGATACAATTATTGGAAACTTAAATTGGCAGGGTGACCTACATGTACCAAGACATTGGTGCACAGCTTGTGATAGACTAGTTTCCCATTCTGCTGGAATAAGTGCTTGTTCATACTTCCCTAATATTACAGATTCATGTACGTTGTTAAGTTCTGACATTCATGAGCCGGGATCTCACACCCTACGGTATGCATTATACTGTTGTAATATGATTTTGATATACCGGTAACTTGGAGTAACATTTTGTGCTTTATTTTTTTAGTTGTCATATTGAATGGAAGAAAGGGAAAAATGTTACACAGAAAGTTGTAAAGAAAAAACAGAAGAAAAAGGGTAAGAATCTATTCTAAATTTGAAAAGAAAATGGGTGAAAGCTACAGGGAGTAATTAAAACCAGTTTATTTGTGATATTTTGGTAGAACTGGTACAACTGTAATAAAAATGCAATCAGTTGTGTAGGCATCATTTTCATTTAGTAAATTTTATTCAAAATACTTTTAATCACTTTTACTTTACTGAAATTTTATTTTATGGCCGATATTTTTTTGCACAGGCTCTGGAGGCAGAGGGCAGACAAGATTTGTCAGCAAGACCATAAAAAATGATTCCTTCTTTAATTTCTTTGCCCCTCCTGAAGGTCAGTAATTAATATTGATATCATAAATTAACTCCTCTCATACATCAAGAAGTGTGGATTCATCAGCACTGGCCAGGGCAATGAATACACTTAACATTTTTCGCAGTGTTCAGACTTCTCCACTACGGAGTTATGGGGGAGAGAGTGAACTTTTAAGGGAACTTGACAAAATGCTGGTGATACCGATAGGCTGCAACAGTCATACTTAGAGGTGTTTGGAAACACAGTCAAACACTGTCTTGAGTGTTTGATATATCTTCCCAATTGAAACTAAAACTTAGGAGAAAACAGAGATATAAAATGTTGTAAAAATCCAGTATGCTTACTAAGATCAGATATACAAACACGTTACGGTCTTTGTATACTCTTGATGAATTAATTATGATTTTTTACGTAAATTATATTAAATTATCTTAAAAAGTAGTTAATATATTCCTGTTAATATCTTTTTTGTTTGATATATTTTTTTCAACATATTAATAATTATTTATTTTTTGGCAGTTCCTGAGGATGAAGCTGACATGGTGAGAAAATTTAATCATTATAAATGTATTTGGTTTACGGCCTTGCATATGACAAGTCTTCCTTAGCTTAGAGTTTAAGAACATTCAATCAGTTCCTCCAAAAGATGGAAATTTAGTAGTCACAAGCGTGAGATTCAGCAAAAAAAATCAAAATCAGATGCTCTGACCTCTGAGCTACATGACTTATGGTGAAATAAGCTGCACATTCTGCATACTGCTACTAGTTATGTTCATAGCATCCTGTGTGGAGAAAAAAAGAAAGATGGTGATTTTAAATTAGGCTACAAGACAAGTGTTCTTGTACGAAGAGCTTTTTCCACATTCTGGCTGCGCAGAAGTTGGAGCAAGGGCAAAAAAATTGATGAAGCCCCCTGCTATGCAGGCTAATTTTAAGCTTATGTTTTCTCTATCTGTAGGTTAGCTTTGTGGTTAGAGCATTCAACAGGTGTAGGGAAGGTCATGGATTGAACTCCCATTGGGGACTTTGGTGTTTTTTCTTTTTCTGGCAACAGAGTTTACGTCTTCCTCATTATTACAATTACTAAAATGAATTATATGTTCTTGATACAGTCAGTAACTTCATTTTTCATGCACCGCTGGTAGCCATGTCGAGCTGACCGCTGCATTGTACAAAAACTTAAAATCTTCAGGTGGGAGGGCAGGAAAGTCAGCAAAGGCAGACACAACAGAAATAACTGCCCACGCCACAGGTCACCAGGTCCCAGCAGTGTGTGAGAAAAACAGTTTTCACTTATTTTGTTTCACTAAGCTAATGAAAACTCTTTTTGCAGGATGAAGAGACGGAGGCTCTATTATCAGCCGACTTTGAAATTGGTCATTTCTTTAGGGAAAGGGTTATTCCAAAGGTATTAAAATATCTTTATCTTTATCTTGTTTACCCTGTGTAACAGTAAATCTTCTTTTCAGTTTCGGCTCAATTAAGTACCTTAATTTTGATTTGAATAAGGTAAACAGGATATAGTGTGACAAAGACGTAAAAGCTGTTGATCCAAATAGTCAATTAAAAAGTGGCTTTTTNAAAATAAATTATATGTTCTTGATACAGTCAACAACTTCATTTCTCACACACCACTGGTAGCCATGTCAAGCTGACTGCTGCATTTTATAAAAACTTAAAATATTCAGGTGGGTGAGCGGGAAAGTCATCAATGGCAGACACAACAGAAACAACTGCCCACCCCACAGGTCACATGTCCTATACCCAGACCCCAGCGGTGTGTGAGAAAAAACATTTTTCACTTATTTTGTTTCACTCAGCCAGTGAAAACAAACTTTTTTTGCAGGATGAAGAGACAGAGGCTCTATTATCAGCCGACTTTGAAATTGGTCACTTCTTTAGGGAAAGAGTTATTCCAAAGGTATTAAAATATCTTATCTTTATCTTGTTTACTCTGTGTATCAGTAAATCTTCTTTTCAGTTTGGGTCAATTAGGTACCTTAATTTTGCTTTGAATAAGGTAAACAGGATATAGTGTGACAAAGACGTAAAAGCTGTTGATCCAAATAGTCAATTAAAAAGTGGCTTTTTTGTTTTGGAAATCAAGATGTTAAGAACGTTATGATTCTTTGTGTTCACCAATTCCAACACCCGCTCTTTTTCAATTATTGTTTTGTAAATACATGTCAAGAGTTAGATTGTCAGTCACAGTCAAACGAGATGTAGCTCTTGGCATTGTATCTGCATCCTTTTCTAGTCAGCAAGCAATTTCCACAATGTTTATTTTGAGGAGCGCTGGCTTGTTTCCCGAACAGCGGCTGGAAATCGAGCCCAGATTATAAGCAGACTGTTAATGAAGTGCTGAATTTACTCCTGCAGGCTGTTCTGTACTTCACTGGGGAAGCTCTTGAAGATGAGGTTAGACATTCTTTGTTGAATTTCTTTTGTCCAGTTTCAATCTTGTATAAACATAATGGCAACCTCCTTATCTTCCATGTTTTTACGCATTTTTATTTTATTTTCTTCTTCTTTTTCTTGAGTCCTTGAAGATGTCACTGGGATTTTATTGATAAACACCACCTCTATTTCATGATGCCAGACTTAATGAAAACAGCCTTTTGAAGTTTTTGTTTTTTGCGCATTGCTGCAATTGACTTCCGAGTTGTTCGAAGTCTCNGCATGTTTTTTTTTTTTCAGCTGTTTTTACTGTGCAGGAACTTTATTTTTGGAAATTGCCCTAGCCCCCCTTAAAAAATAATGATCTTTCCCGTATTATCAGTGAGTGTTATCAACCAGTAAGTCGTCATTTTTTTCTTTTCAGGATGCGGAGGGTGATGAAGAAGAAGATGATGACCCAGATTATCAGCCACCCCCGGTAAGTCAAAAATTCCAGTTAATTTCACGCCTTACCTATAGATGAATGAAACCTCAAAATAATGGTTAGTTCAGGTTAGAAATTGTCAAAAGGAGGGTGATTAGAAGACAAAAAAGTTGGAGGATGGTTATAAGTTTGAAAGATTGAGGTGGATTGCGAACCTTCCTGCCAATGAACAGACAGTTTTAATACTACATCTTTGTTCTCTGTGTGTTTGGTACGAGGGAACTGGGCGTTAAGACCGACGAATACAAGGAACAAATGGAATGATTTATTTTAGGCGTCCTACTTCATGTAATACAACACACGATAGAGCAGAGTCCTACTTCATGTAGTATAACTCAGGATATAACACTGGGAACCATGCTGCTAATCAAGAGGGAGTCTTTCAAAGCCTGAGTAGATCTTACGGTTACACATGCTCAAAATTCACCTCCAAGCCTCCTTTGCGTGAAAATTTCCCAAACTTCTGACACCTTCGTGTTGTCTTCACTTGGGTATTCCTTTCATCTTTGTTGCTTTGGGAATTTGTTCATGATAAATTTTACGATGAGAATTTCAAAACCAAGGCTTCGTGGTGAAATTAGCCAGTTTCATGTCAACATGTACTATTGGTCATCTTCAAAAGCTCCTGAATTGACTTGTTAGAATTTTTACATAAAACATGCTAAGCAAATGTTATTCCTTATGTTGACAAGCTTAGCAGTGAGACAAACATTAGGTTTACAAAATGCTAAATCTCGTCATAAACAGTCTTGCACAAGTCTCACTTGTTTAAGTCTATCTATTATTAACAGTTACAATTTCAATCTGGGATCTCTTGTTTTCCAGGATGGTGACAAACCTCAGGAATGCCAACAAAGTTGAGGTTTTCTTTTGGAGGAAAAATTCGGATGAACCAATAGCAGACGAGTCTGGTGTTTTGATTGACGTGTCCTTCGTGACCTGGCCTGGGAAGGATTGTTATTTATTTAGACACACTCCTTTGCATTAATTAGTTACCATAGCAACAGATAGTTGTGGTTCTCACTGAAGTCATGTTTACAAGTGTGCGTAGTTCTTCGCCGCATACTTGAGGCTTTTAAAAATTTGGCTTGTACAAGTTAATTCAGAGCAAAAAAAGTCACATGTTTATGTGTTGGCTAATTACTGCTGGATAGTAGGAACCTTGCACTTTCTCGTTGCATGAGGCTTTCAGAAATGATTTGCGAAGTCGTTTACGAATAAAAACTGTTAATTGCGAGCAGTTGCCCCTGCCCATTCCGCTCTCAACGTCGTCGAGGATGAAGCGAAAGTTATAGAGAAAATGACCGCACGTAAATCAGATTTTTATATCTCGCGTGCTTTTCTTTTCTCACCAGACGATAAAAAAAAAAAAATTAAAAATGGTAACTGCTCCGTAAAATCCAGTCCTAGTGAACTGCTTTTGGAATTTGCATTTTCACGGGCGATAAAAAAAAGCCGTTTAATGTAGTATCTACTGTTGTGAGGTGCGGACAGATATTTTCGTCCATTTTGGATGCTGAATTGGTATTTCACGTCTCCTGGCGTCAACTGAATTTGATGTGTTTAAAAAGCAGGCACTCTCTTTTTAGCTGGTAAATAATTTTGCTCTGTACCGTTATCTTTCTATCAAGCTAATAAAAGATGCCACTTTTTTGAAAAAATACTGTAGTTTGCTTTTAGTTTCAGGGTATTTCGTTAAGTACTCTATGCATGCGAAACCTGATCTACGGACATTTCCGGAAAAAAAATCGTATTGAGCGCAGCACCCGAAGAATTAATATTGTTCCATAACTCAATTTGCAAGTTGCGATGCCTATTTTTTTCGCTTGAGCATTTAAAGTAATTTCTTTTGTTTGCTTTCGAGGGTTTTTGAGGGGAATAGATGTAGCAAACGTTTGTCGTTTTTTTTTCACTGTGCGGCACTCGATATATCCATTCTCTTGAGTTTCAAGGGCAAAAAATCTCTCAAGGGGAACAAAAATTTGCGAGAGCTTAAAGCTTAAAAGAGGTTGCTTTTTTATTCACCGGCCCAATGCTCTGTCTTTTTTTTTTCAGAACGTTTATGAATAAAATGGACACCTTTTAATTCACTGGAATTTATCTTTAATGCCATTTCTATTGAATTGATTGCGATTACATTCTTTTTCCTATACGTATTATTTGCAGATATGTATGTTCCTGTCTTTGCTACAAGATACATTTTATACGTATTTTCGTGGTCTCTCGTTTTACTTTTATGGTTAAGCCTAATTCATCTGTCGGATATGGTATCCTCTTCATTTTCTCTCTGTGTTCTGCCAAACCCTTACAGAAGCCTTGCTCAGCTATAGCAGAAACGAACGGTAATCTTCGGAGTACGGAGAAGCACGATCGCACGCAACAGACTATTTTCGTATTCTCGGTATTGGACTGGAACTAGCGCGCAACTGAGGCTACTGCGGGATTTCCCCGTATACATGAGCCTCCATTGCAAGCTAGTTCCAGTCCTATACCGAGAATACGAACATGGCCTATTCACTTACACTTAAGTCGCACCGCTGCCATCTTGAACGTTTTAAATGCGTTCAGCCGAGTGTGACGTCAATACCAGAAAAACCTTAGCCCTCGGAAATTCTCATACTACGGAAAATCTTGGTAAAGATGTTGTTCGGTCCAGTGCACAGCCGATACAAAATAGTATTTTGGGTTTGATTCTGCTTTCTGTCAGAAACTATCAAATTAAAAGCCATCTCAAGTATCTGTACAATTAATTCATTATACGTTCGCGTGATAACCCTTTTCACGGTTAACTTTTCTTAATAGGCTAGCTGCGAGTTGAATTTTACCTCTGGAAACGATTTTCGTG